TATATAAAAACACCAACACACATGATTTATATATATATATGAAGGATAAAGGAGCAGAATTTCCAAAAAAGCCTTGTGTACTACTCCACACAAATGCCCTTCACGTTGCTGTCAGCAATGCCAGAAGCAGCAGGGCTCCAAGGTTAATACTTTGGAAGACCACAGCCAAAAAACCAGGAGAGTGGAGATGTTAGAACTGGTGTTTCAGACCCTGGGTCCGTTCCAAGTGGCACAGCTCAGAGAGAAGTTAGGTTTGGCAAGAGATCCAGCAAGAAAAATCACCCCTACAAAGATGCCTGCACTCAGAGAACCACTATTTCAGCATCACTTACAAGGAAACTCCCTATATCCATCTCTTTTTCATACTGAGGAAGAACTCCAGTTACTATTTGTTATCAAAGCACCCAATGGCCACCTTCAAACCATCAAGGACCCTGCAGAGCAACCCGCTTCTGCTGCATGCAGGATGCCAGGCCAAGAGGCACTGCTCTGGGGCAGGAAGCAGCCCAGCTAAAGCCTGCTGCCACCACGACCCACTGCTATTCCTGTGGTCTCTGAAGCAGAAAGGACTGACCTGGGCTTCACAGCTTTGGTCTTGGATGGGGCAGCAGCTTTCTCAGGTTTCTGTTCTTCCTCAAAAGGGTTGAGAGGCTGCTTGTTTGCAGAGATGTCTTCTGCATGGTGACCGTCTTCCGCAGGATTCCCTCCGCCCGAATCTGCTGGAGGTTCAAGACATTTGGCCTCTTGTTCACTCTCCTCTTCTGGAATTGTGTTTTCCTCATCCTGCAGGGTCCTGTCAGGAATATTCTCAGCATCCCCAGTCTTCACCACTTCCTTCTTCCCAGTGACCAGAGAGAGCAAGGCAGACTTTTTGTGCTCTGTTTTTTTGGTCTCTTTAATAACCTCAACACTTGGGGGAACACTGGTTTCCAGGTATTCTTCACTGCTAAGCAGTCTGTATGATGGCAAAGTCATAGACTTAAAGGTCTCCAAGGACGTTGGCCCAGAGGAAGCATGACTGGGAGATGTTCTTCCCATCTCTTCAGGTCCTTTAGTAGGTCTGGAAGACAGGTTCTCTTCTGAAGCAAAGAGCTGCTTCCTCCTGAAGTTGTGAGGAGAGGGGGAAGAGGCTGGAGTGTTGTCCTTCATGCTGCTCTCTTCCATATAAACGTGACTGCCATTGATACACAGACTGGACTTGGAGACGGGATCGCTTTTGGATTTAAGGCCACTGAATAAAGAGAGCCCTTCCTTCTTGGGGTGGGTCGTGGTCACCTGGGTTAGTTGCCTGCTGTCCAGAATTGCTGTTTTGCGAGACTTAAATACAGGAGAAGGAGAGGACTTCTCTTCCAGGGCATTTCCAAAGGACTCTGGAAAAAAGCAGGAACAGGGAGAAATTCAAGATGCAAGAACCCCCCTTGCTCTGACACTCACTACTGACAACCTCAGTGCTTCACAGTCATCAACTACGAGGTCTACTCACACTTGCAGCAACAGAAACATCACAAGTGTGACTATACCAGCCACTGTCAACCCTCCTAGGTCCCCTCAGCAGCCCCCTCAGCAGCCCAGATCACACCATTCAATGCCCTAAAACCTGATCACTTACTGTGAAGCTGCTCCACCAACACGTGCAGGTATTGCTCGTGCAGCCCCACAGTTTCTATGCTAGCCCAAGGCAAGCTTAGCTGCGAGTGTCAACATCCTGTGTGCAAACAAACCTGCCACCATGGCCAGAAGTGACCTTCTATGGATTCATTCACTGAGAAGAGCTTCACTAGTACCCTAAAAAGTGTGCCTAAAAGTGCAACAAAACCTTGGGAGAAAGGCTTTGTGCTCCACCAGTGCTGTACTCACTTTCAGAGGTTGGAGAGGTCTCGGACTCCTCGTCATCCCATTGCGACTGGAAGTCACTGGGCCGAAGCCGAACCCTCTGGGTGACGGGCTGCTGTGTTGGTAGGACTGACATGGACTGGGAGAGGGAGGTCTTCTGCAGGCCAGGCTTGGAAAACAGCGTTTTGAGCTTGGATTTCTTCTTTTCCTTCTCAACTGCCTCATCCTCGCTGTCAGCAGGGGAGTGAGATGTACTGGGAATGATCGCCGAGGCCGTGTCGGAGAGGCCACTGCTCCTCTTCCCCTTGAGCTTGTCTTTGAGCTTGCCAAAGGGAGAGCGAGGCTTGTCCTTCATGGACAGATCAAACATGCTGGCTGTCATGTTGCTCCTCATGAACTGGATATCCACTTCGATCTCCCCTCTCTCCTTCTCCTTTTTCCCTGGTTTGGAGCGAAGCTTGTACCACCTGCAGCAAGAAGGAGATTTCTTTTACAACCCAGTTCTGGAGGCAGGGCTCACTTGGAACAACAGAGCGTGTTTGTGGTTTAAAAATCAAGTGAGCCTACAGTGTAAGGACAAAAGAAGAAAAGCCTTTAATCCTACAACAATGCCACGGTCACATGGTGACCAAGGAAAACATGTCTTGGCATAAAGTTATCAGTAAAAACTGTTCTGAAACCAGATCAGGAAGGGTTAAAGAGACAGACAACATGGAATTCCTGCATTTCAGCTCAGCTTTCTTCTGCCCTTTCATCTGACTTCCCCAAATGTACTTTGAAGTGGGTGCGGGAAGAAGAAGCCTCTGAGAGCCTGACACTGGTACCAGAGAGCGTCCCACGCCCTCATACCTTTCATTCCAGCTCCTTTCCAGTTGCTATCTTAATGCCCTTCAAGCTCAGAAACCCCTAATCAACACAAAGGAGAGCCAAGCCAAGCCTTGCAGACTGTCTGGGGATTTCCACTCCCCTCCTGCTCGTGACTGGAGCACGCCAGGAAGGACATTCCTTACAAGACAGAACCTTATCCCTTTGTGCAACACAACCTCGGGTACATTGAGCATATGAAGTGCTCAGGGTATCCTAAACTGCAGAAACACCATCTGTGTGCTGCTACGTCCTCAATTACCACTCAAAGACTTTCAAACCGCATTAGGGCTGGCAAAGAAAGTTATCAGCACCTCACACCAACTCTTGCCTATTGCTGGAGCCACAGCCTTCCCGACGCCACAGAACTGATAGGGAAAGCTCGCCTGGAAAACTCCTCCCCGGCTGGTACAGGGAAAATAATGGAAGCAAACAGAGCATGCATCACATTTGCACTGCAGTCCTTTGAAGGTGAACTGGAAGCAGTGAAGGAGAAGAGGAAAAGGCCATTTGCTTGAGAGAACATTCAAAACTAATGAGCGTTAACTGCAGGAGATGAATGTAGGAACGCGCTCCAGAGAAACACTCCGGAGGGAAATGAACGCTCAAGCACCACACTACAGTTAGATAAATGTCCAGACCTGAAGTTACAAGACACCAGGGAAAGGGTTTACTAGGAGATGTTGGGCTTTGTCAGGTCCCAGATGCTGCGGTCCCACAGCAGCACAAGTTCTGCCTTTAACACAAGCCAGCACTTTTGTTCTAAATCCCGTGATTTCTAGGAGCATCCTGCTGGTTTCGGTGCCACAATCCATTCCGCAGGCTCTGTGCCCCGGGGGGAAGAGCAGGTCCTGTTCCAAACACATCCAAAACAAACTATGGGTTCAGTGAACAACAGCTTAGTTAGCGCTGACCAGAACACGAACGCTGCTACATCTGCTTCATTCGAGGGGCTGAAAGGAAAGAACGTGGGGACAAATCTGCCCCTCAAAACTATCAAATATGAATTCTTCATCATTTACTGTGTTAGTGTAAACTAAACCCCAGCCCTTTATGGCTTTACATCACCACAGCAGCCAAGCAAAGGCAAAAGAAACAGGCTTCAAAGAGAAACCGGAGCGCTGGGGGGGACCCCTCGAACAACTGATGGAAACTTCAGGAGTTTCAAAGCTCTGTTTTCCCTTTTTCCCCCCCTCAGTTTTCCTCTGGCTCACACACAAGGAAACAACTCCCTGAACTCTGCATGTAAACACATTAGTGCTTGATACAACCTTAATGACAGCCACGTCCTAATGAAGGCTTCACCAGCACTGATGGCTTTGTCGAGAAACACCAGCCCCGCGTTAATACCTCGCTCTGCTCAGGTGAGTGAGAAGAGGAAGGTGACTCAGGGGCCACCTCAAGCCATGCTGACTCCCAGTTAAACCCTCCCTGGAACCACCCCTGGGATTCCAGGGCAGTGTTTTTATGTTCAAAGGAGCAAGTATGACACAGAGCTGGCACTTGTGGTAAAGGAAAAGTCTCCCAGCCCCAGTGTCCTGCTGGCACCAGCGAGGGCAGCCCATCTAACGCTGGATTAGCTGCTCTTACATGCACGTAGGCTCTGCTGAGTGTTTATTAAGGGACAGGGATCAACGGCTGGCTGTAGCTTGTGCTCATTCCCGGCTTCCTGGGTCACTCTGGCTGTTCCCAGTGTTCCCTGCCAGCACTCACACATTGATGCTTAAAACCCAGACCAAGCAGGAGGCAGGATGGGCTCAAACAGCCCCAACTCACACGCCAGGGCTCCGGCCTCTTCTATGGGGCAGGCACCCTGGAGCTATGGGGGGCTGCCCCGCACCAGACCCCTCACCCCTGTGGGGCACGGGACGGGGGGCTCACCACTGCCCTGCAGACCTGTGGGACATGGGGGGCCCCCACCACAGCCCCACATACCTATGGGGCACAGGGACATTCCAGGGGGAACTGGGGTCCCCCAACAGAGCCAGAGGCCCTCCCATCTCTGCCCCCAACCCTCACGATGCCCAGACAACCCCCTTCATCTTTCCCTC